ATCAAGGTTACATGTTGCATTCGACGACTTCATGATTATGTTATGGACTTCTTCTTCTGACAGGAGCTTAAATGAGTCTAATTTGATATCAGGTAAACGATAATCTACTAATGGTGGGTCTACTACAACGTTTTCAATGTCATTTCTAATTAGCTCAATCGTTCGACAGAAATATTTTCCGAACTCATCAGCCAGTTTACGTGAATCATCATGTGGAGGCAAGGAGTTTTTTTGAGGTGTGTTGCAAAGTGAAGACACAACCTTAAAAAGTTTTCTTGAATCTCCCGAGCATTGATCGATAAGATCAGAATAGTATTTATGTCTAGCATTTTTCAAACTGATAGCATACTTGTTACGCGCTTGGCGATAAGCGTCTTTATCATTTTGGCAATTTGATCGTAGCATTACTTTCTCCAGTTTTCTGCGTTTGGCCTTAATACGTTTAAGTTCTTCACTGAACCATGGTACTCTTGGTCTGACAACCACTATCTTTCTTTGTAAAGGGCATGTTTCTCCAAAATATGTGATAGCGTATTATCATAATGTTTCACCAAATCATCTAGATTGGAGCATGGGTCATTACACAGTTTGGAATCAGTGATGTCAGCTTTGAAGGCCTGAAGATTCAAATGATTTGTCTTACGAAACTGAATTTCCTTTGTCACAAGATTCGGGCGAGGAAAAGAGAGGTTGCATTCAACAAAACAATGATCTGACAAAAAGAAAGTAGTCTTGACTAGGTGAATATTAATGTCATTGGACGATCTCGAAATTAGAAGATCCAGGGTATGCCCAGACGAGTGAGTTGGTACAGTAACATGTTGTAATAAGCCAAAAGTTTCCAATAAAACAGTAAATGTTTTCGCGTCAGTATCAGACGGATCATCGAGATGGAAATTAAAGTCACCGGAGATTACTAATACTTCTGTGCACATAACAATGCTCTCAAGTAAGTTGGAGAATTCTTCGAAGAAAACGCTTGAAGAAACAGGGTGAGTTTGTGAATAAGGTGGACGATAGACTGCTAATGTTTTAATCGTACGGTTGAGAAAAGCCAAGTACCATTCAGAGTATTCAAAAGATCGTTGTATAGTATAGTATGTATACATAATTAGTGTCTTAATTAACTTTTATATTCCGTAATCTGTAACAATATTGTATTCTCTTATCATCTTTTATGTAAAATCCTGATAAGTCTACCGTGGGTAAATAAAGTTCACAATCACAATCACAATCACAAGGTTCTTCACGCTGATGACAAGGTTCTTCACGCTGAGGACAAGGTTGCTTCACGCGGGGACAAGGTTCCTCACGCTGAGAACAAGGTTTCTCACGCGGAGGACAAGGTCCTCACTCTGAGGGCAAGGTTACTCACGCTGAGGACAAGGTTCTTCACGCTGAGAACAAGGTTCTTCACGCCGAGGAGAAGGTTCCTCACGCTGAGGACAAGGTACTTCCCGCTGAGGACAATTTTCTTCACGCCGAGGCCAAGGTTCCTCACGCTGAGGACAAGGTTCCTCACGCTGAGGACAAGGTTCCTCACGCTGAGAGACAAGGTTCCTCACGCCGAGGACAAGGTTCCTCACGCTGAGGACAAGGTTCCTCACGCTGAGGACAAGGTTCCTCACGCTGAGAACAAGGTTCCTCACGCTGAGGAAGGTTCCTCACGCTGAGGACAAGGTACTCCGCTGAGGACAATGTTCTTCACGCTGAGGACAAGGTTCTTCACGCTGAGGACAAGGTTCCTCACGCTGAGACAAGTTCTTCATGCTGAGGACAAGGTTCTTCACGAGGACAAGGTTCCTCACGCTGAGGACAAGGTTCTCACGCTGAGGACAAGATTCCTCTCGCTCAGAACAATGTTCCTCACGCTGAGGACAAGGTTCTTCACGCCGGTGATAAGGTTCCTGACGCTGAGAACAAGGTTCCTCACGCGGAGAACAAGGTCCACACGCTGAGGACAAGGTTACTTCACGCTGAGGACAAGGTTGCTTCACGCTGAGGACAAGGTTCCTCACGCTGAGAACAAGGTTTCTCACGCGGAGGACAAGGTCCTCACTCTGAGGGCAAGTTTACTCACGCTGAGGACAAGGTTCTTCACGCTGAGAACAAGCTTCTTCACGCCGAGGAGAAGGTTCCTCACGCTGAGGACAAGGTACTTCCCGCTGAGGACAATTTTCTTCACGCCGAGGACAAGGTTCCTCACGCTGAGGACAAGGTTCCTCACGCTGAGGACAAGGTTCCTCACGCTGAGAATAAGGTTCTTCACGCCGAGGACAAGGTTCCTCCCGCTGAGGACAAGGTTCCTCATGCTGAGGACAAGATTCCTCTCGCTCAGAACAATGTTCCTCACGCTGAGGACAAGGTTCTTCACGCCGGGACAAGGTACTTCCCGCTGAGGACAATTTTCTTCACGCCGAGGCCAAGGTTCCTCACGCTGAGGACAAGGTCCACACTCTGAGGGCAAGGTTACTCATGCTGAGGATATTGTTCTTCACACGCTGAGGACAAGGTTCCTCACGCTGAGGACAAGGTTCCTCACGCTGAGGACAAGGTTCCTCACGCTGAGAACAAGGTTCCTCACGCTGAGGACAAGGTTCTTCACGCCGGAAGGTTCCTCACGCTGAGGAACAAGGTTTCCTCACGCTGAGAACAAGGTTCCTTACGCTGAGAACAAGGTTCCTCACGCTGAGGACAAGGTTTCCTCACGCTGAGAACAAGGTTCCTCACGCTGAGAACAAGGTTCCTCACGCTGAGGAAGGTTCATAGCTGATGTTCCTCACCCTGAGGATAAGGTTCGTCACGCCGAGGACAAGGTTCGTCACGCTGAGCACAAGGTTCTTCACGCTGAGGATAAGGTTCGTCACGCTGAGCTGAGACAAGGTTCCTCACGCTGAGAACAAGGTTCCTTACGCTGAGGAACAAGGTTCCTCACGTTGAGGACAAGGTTCTTCACGCTGAGGACAAGGTTCCTCACGCTGAGGACAAGGTTCCTCACGCTGAGGACAGTCTAGTAGCCCGCGCTGAGAACAAGGTTCCTCACGCTGAGGACAAGGTTCCTCACGCCGAGGACAAGGTTCGTCACGCTGAGAACAAGGTTCCTCACGCTGAGAACAATGTTCCTGACCCTGAGGATAAGGTTCCTCACGCTGAGGACAAGGTACTTCACGTTGAGGACAAGATTGCTCACGTTGCCTTCACCCTGATGACAAAGTTTTTACGCCCAGGACAAGGTTCCTCACGCTGAGGACAAGGTCCTTTACCTGAGGACAAGGTCCTTTACGGGGGGGACAAGGTTCCTCACGCTGAGAACAAGGTTCCTCACGCTGAGGACAAGGTTCCTCACGCTGAGGACAAGGTTCCTCACGCTGAGGACAAGGTTCCTCACGCTGAGGACAAGGTTCCTCACGCTGAGGACAAGGTTCGTCACGCTGAGGACAAGGTTCTTCACGCTGGGACAAGGTTCCTGACGCTGACGACAAGGTTCTTCACGCTGAGGACAAGGTTCCTCACGCTGAGGACAAGGTTCCTCACGCTGAGGACAAGGTTCCTTACGCTGAGAACCAGGTTCCTCACGCTGAGGACAAGGTTTCCTCACGCTGAAGACAAGGTTCTTCCCGCGGCTGAGGACATGGTTCCGCTCGCTGAGGACAAGGTTCCTCACGCTGAGGACAAGGTACCTCACGCTGAGGACGAGGTTCCTCACCCTGAGGACAATGCTCTTCACGCCGGCGACAAGGTTCCTCACGCTGAAGACAAGGTTCTTCACGCTGAGAAAAAGGTTCCTCACGCGGAGGACAAGCTTCCTCAATCTGAGGGCAAGGTTACTAACGCAGAGGACAAGGTTCTTCACGCTGAGGACAAGGTTCTTCACGCTGAGGACAAGGTTCCTCACGCTGAGGACAAGGTTCCTCACGCTGAGGACAAGGTTCCTCACGCTGAGGACAAGGTTCCTCACGCTGAGGACAAGGTTCCTCACGCTGAGGAGAAGGTTCTTAACGCCGCGGACAAGGTTCCTCACGCTTAGAACAAGGTTCCTCAAGCGGAGGACAAGGTTCCTCACCCTGAGGGCAAGGTTACTCACTTTGAGGACAAGGTTCTTCACGCTGAGGGCAAGGTTCCTCACGCTGAGGACAAGGTTGCTCACACTGAGGACAAGGTTCCTTACGCTGAGAACAAGGTTCCTCACGCTGAGGACAAGGTTCTTCACGTGAGGAGAAGGTTCTTAACGCCGCGGACAAGGTTCCTCACGCTTAGAACAAGGTTCCTCAAGCGGAGGACAAGGTTCCTCACCTTGAGGGCAAGGTTACTCACTCTGAGGACAAGGTTCTTCACGCTGAGGGCAAGGTTCCTCACGCTGAGGACAAGGTTGCTCACACTGAGGACAAGGTTCCTTACGCTGAGAACAAGGTTCCTCACGCTGAGGACAAGGTTCTTCACG